GCATTCAATAAATTAAGTTTTCATTAAAGATAAAAGTGACACATAAACACACATTACTGACAACACATATAGAAATTTATACGAGTTGATTATTTTTGTTTTTTTACTTTATAATTCATCAAAATCATCTCGTTCTCGTCGAATTCGTTCAAGTGCAGCTGAAATATGTTTTTCTCGTGGATTATTTGTTGCTATATTCACAAATACACTATTATCTGATAGATGATGAATACCTTTATGTCTTCCATTACTCCATACCGTTGTACGACCATTTTGAGACGAATTTGAATCATCATCACTATTATTATCATTGGATATATTTGATGAAGAAGAAATTTCAGTTGATACAGATCTAAATATTTTGAATAATATTTTACAATAAAGATTTTGATTGATTAACTCTTTTCATACTTGGAACATAGTTTATTAACATCAAATGATTGTAGATTTTTTTTTGATGTACGTATTTGTTGATCAATTTTTGAAAAATAATTATCATAGGAAGACATTGTCGTTGTTGGAATAGAAGTTGAACTATCGGATGTTTGAATAGATGATGGAATTTCATCATTTGTCATTGTAGTTGTCAATGATTTTTTTATATTACTAGTTGTTGGTGATAGATTTTGAACAACATTTAATGTTGGATATAAAGTTCGTAATGTTGATAATTGAGATGAACTAACAGGAATATATACATTTTTCAGTAGATTTAATTCAGCGTCTGACCATAATTTATTGACTCTTTTAATCTCTTGAATCTTAAAAATTAAAAGAAAATAAATAATTTCATTGCTTTTTTATATTTAGACTGAAAAGCAAAAATACATACATTGATGCTATATTTTAACGCAAGTCTTTGCATTGTATCATTTGATTCAACTTTATGACAAATATAATATGTAGGTTGTAATTGTGATTTAGCCAAACTACCATAATTGCCACCTGAACGTTTTGCACTATGCATTACTTCACTAAGAGCACGCCTTTCAGGTGGAGTTGTTGTTGATGCAATCGAGCCGCTAGTTGATATTTCGGTTGATATTTTATCCATAGAGTTATTGACATTAGATGGATCGAGAGGCCGTTATGATGACTATTCAGGCTTGTTTTGTATTCTGCCTGTCACATGGACACAACTGATTGTCTTCCTCGTAGGCGTAGCTAGCTAGAATAAATGACTGACATATTGACAATTGCTATTGGCTGTATCTGATCCAGTCATGTTATGTTACTTCCACCATAACTATCTGACATCTATGGAAATGTGCGAGTTTTATTTTCTACTATTAATAGTTGCATTTTGCTTAAACTAAACTATGTATTGTGATTGAAACATCCTATGAATTGTTTAATTTTAGTTCAAATATAAGTCAAGCTTCAATTGCACAGAATTATTTCGAAAGTAACTTTGAAGATCAGATTCACTAAAATACAAAGTATTGCGCAGGACACATCACCAAAAGTGATGGTGAGAGTGGCATCGATGACATCTGATGCATTGATAAGTTGACGATAAGATCAGAGATGGATTACACAACGTTTTTTCTCAAATTGTGTAGTGGAGCACTTGCATAATGGCTTATTTTGTTTGTTATTTCCGTTACAGGTATTATACAAATTAATTACGTACATAGTTTTCATTATAAATTTCAGGTTTGTTATCAAAGAAGATGAATGAGTGTTTCGCGACAAGCACTGAAATGGCTTGGATTTTCGAAATTCGTTCAGAATTTAAAGCCTAAATTTGCGAGCGTTATTTCAATACAGAGGACAAAGATGTTGTTATTCGCGGCTCAACACCTTTGTCTTGATGCGATATTTGACTACATTGATAGTTCGATCATACTTGAACAGCTCAGTCAGTTTATTCTGTAACTTCCTGTCAACAAGATCAGTATAATCAATGGGAAATTCATAGAGTTCATCTTATCCTTGCCTTATTTTCTATTTCTAAACAAAAATTCTGCGACACTTATAATTAAAATTGCAATAACATTTTATTTTTCTTCTTTATGTTTTGGTGATTTTTATATGATTTCGAAAGTTTTATTTCTACTTGATCTTAAATTAGGGCAGCCATTGAAACATTCAACCTTTACTCAGTTATAAATTAATTGCTTTATAGAAGAAAAACAAAAACGTTTATGCTTATTTGCAAGTAATACCAATAATAAGAAATAGCTATTTATTATTCTGTTATGTTCTTTATTGATTTAATATTTACATCAACCTCAATATTTATTAAAAAAACAACAGATCATAATTTTTTAAAATAAATATATATTTGATATCTAATGGAATTGTTAGATCATAAACATATCATTACGTCTGAAATTATCATTGATTCTATGGATGATAAAAAATAAATAAGAGATATTGAAGTAGAACATTTGTCACAGCGTATATTTGTAATGCAATAGTCAAAATATTGTGACTTATAATAGTCTTTATAATTGGAATAAAATTCATCATAATAACTTTCTATGTGAAATAATTAATCAAATTGAATAAAATGTTAGATAGATGAAAAAATTTATTACACCACATTGTATTGTAATGCCTCAATCAGATACTGTACATCTTTGATATCAATTTTATTGGATTGAAAATCTGACGTTTTCAATAGCTATATAAAAAAAAAGTTTAAAGTAAAATATGTCAAACAAGAGAAAATATTTGTCTTACAATGATAGTTAGTAATATCGTACTCAAATAGTGTCTATCCTCAAAGTTAATTGAATTGTATGTGCAATTATGACTGATACATGTCTAGTTAAAATCATCAAATTAAAAAAAGCAGTATGAATACATAAAGTCTGTCTTACCTTGTTACATTCTAACAGATATGTTAGAAATTCGATAATTGTGTTTCTGTTGATGTCCAATGTTATCAGTGTCTAAATTTTATGTCAATAAATTATAGTGAAATAGAGGAATAAAGAAAACTTGTCTTACAATGCTATTTTGTAATGCATTCACCAGATGTTGTGTTCCTTGATCACTATTAAAATTTCTTTGATAGTTTATTGTAATAAATGGCTATATAAAAAGATAAAAATACCTAACAGTATAATTAATGAGAAAAAAAAAACAAAATTTCTCTCTATAATTGAATAGTATTAATAGTTGATAATTTACCTGAGTTAATAGGTAACCATCTGTGATCGCATTCAGCTGTGTACAAACATTACGAACTGAAAGTACAGTGGTCATACCATTAAAATTATAAAGAATATCGCCTAAAAATGATATACATAATGTAACCAGACACGACGTATGATTGCTATCACCTTGAATGTTAAAAATCAATACAATAAAAAAGTATTTTTTTTTCAGTTATGTTTGTATGCACGTGGTATGCTATTATGCTTTACCTTGATTATGCAACCATATCTCGAAAATAAACAAAAAATGCATTTTTCTCAAGTACATACACATCACTATCGTAACTTTTGTATATCACTATTGTTAATTACAACAATTTTTGCTTCTTTTTTTCTTTTCATTGACTATGATTGTTTATATGATGATTCAGTTTCAATTTCTTGTCAACATTTTACTTTCTAAAAGTTGATAGTAAGTAGAACTGATGTCAATTTATCTTCTGTTAGTGACGAAAATTTTGATTGAATTCAGTTATATATTATTTATACCATCAAAATATTAGCATCTATTTCTATTCATTGTTAATATGAAATAGAATTGATTAAAAAAAAAAGCTTTGCATGGATAAGTCTTTTGAGGCTATGTTACGTTTGAAAGTGCACAAATTGTATGAAAGATGTCAATAATACATCCAACACAGAAAAACAATCATTAGCAAGCAAATTACAAATCGTACATTTTCTTTTGAAATATTCCGACAAGTGAAAAATCCGTTATATTCACGTGACAACATGTAAAATGCAAATTGTTAATACTTTTATGAGGTCGTCAAAAGCAGGCATTAATCATGCGCATACACGATATGATTGATCAGATTTTAAGCTATTTACATCCATTGTTTGTTGAATGTTTTTCTGAACTGTATAGTGCTTCTCAAAGTCAATACTCTTTAAGTCTTGATGAAGTTGAAATGGCTCTTATACCTCAAATAAAAGCTCAAGTGAAATAAGTAACTATGCTTGAGCAATAATCGAATATTATGAATTTAGCAGATAGAATCGTTGCCAGTTATTACTTGCAGTGTTATCAATCCTATTGTCGGCGCCAGAATTAAATAGGGGTGGGTGTAGAACGAATATCTCGAGAATGGCAGTAGCTAGCGACCT